GGTACACCATGTCACTGCTTTCTGTGGGTACACCATGTCACTGCTTTCTGTGGGTACATCATGTCATTGCTTTCTGTGGGTACACAGTGTCATTGCTTTCTGTGGGTACACCATGTCATTGCTTTCTGTGGGTACACCATGTCACTGCTTTCTGTGGGTACACCATGCCATTGCTTTCTGTGGGTACACCATGTCATTGCTGTCTGTGGGTACACCATGTCGCTGCTGTCTGTGGTACACCATGTCATTGCTTTCTGTGGGCACACCATGTCACTGCTTTCTGTGGGTACACCATGTCATTGCTTTCTGTGGTACACCATGTCACTGCTTTCTGTGGGTACACCATGTCACTGCTTTCTGTGGGTACATCATGTCATTGCTTTCTGTGGGTACACAGTGTCATTGCTTTCTGTGGGTACACCATGTCATTGCTTTCTGTGGGTACACCATGTCGCTGCTTTCTGTAGTACACATGTCATTGCTTTCTGTGGGTACACTATGTCACTGCTTTCTGTGGATACACCACACTACTACTTTCTGCTGGCACCACTGGTTAATAGCCCTCCAAAGGGCTGACAAAAATGTGTGCCGTTAATTATTATTTCTTTGACATCGTATATAATTAAAAATTAGAAGTGGGTAAATGATATCAATAAGAAATCAGGAGACTGCAATACATGCAAAAACGTATTTCTTTTTACATTTTTCTATCTCCCTACCAGCATTGCCTCTGTGCACTGAAGTTCTTTTCCATGTGCCTCATTGTTACAGAAATAAAAAATTTTAGAAAAGTGAAATGATGTAAAATTTATCTTAAGCCCAAGCAAGCTGAGATTTTTATGTTAAGTATAAAAACATTTTTAACACAAATAAAACTAGAATAATTTAATGTCTACTCTACTCAATCATTGTGAAAGATAACTTATGGATTCTCCAAGTTTTGAAAGTTTAAAACTCCTTTTGCTAAAATATGTGTATGGAATTTAATCTCAGTAATTTTCAGGTAATCAGGCATAATTGGCTAAATGTGCCTCCCAAACCAGGTTACATAAAAAAAATCTCAGTAGTTTTCTGCTAATCAGACATAATTAGCTAAATGTGCCTCCCATTATAGGTTAGTAAAAAAAATCTCAGTAGTTTTCTGCTAATCAGGCATAATTGGCTAAATGTGCCTCCCATTATAGGTTAGTAAAAAAAATCTCAGTAGTTTTCTGCTAATCAGGCATAATTGGCTAAATGTGCCTCCCATTATAGGTTAGTAAAAAAAATCTCAGTAGTTTTCTGCTAATCAGGCATAATTGGCTAAATGTGCCTCCCATTATAGGTTAGTAAAAAAAATCTCAGTAGTTTTCTGCTAATCAGGCATAATTGGCTAAATGTGCCTCCCATTATAGGTTAGTAAAAAAAATCTCAGTAGTTTTCTGCTAATCAGGCATAATTGACTAAATGTGCCTCCCATTATAGGTTAGTAAAAAAACAAAATAAATTTTATGAAATTTATTTGAAATGTTTTATTCTGATGCACCTTTTATGTCATATGGTGCCTTCCCCATTTTTTTTTCCTTTTAT